AAAGAATCCTCGGCCGCAAATGATTAATTTCACGTCCAAACTATTGCTCAACTATTCTGATCCCATCCTAGGTGTGCACGAACAGGTTCTTGCCACCAGTTATGTTTGACTCCAAGCGCACGCTAGAACCACCACTCGATCCCTTGCTCAATTCGACTCCTCTTTGTCCAAGCACGCACAAAAAAAGGCATTTTGATGCTTCTTGCCTTGTCCCGCACGAACCTGGCTCAATCAAAAATTTCCTGCGTCCTTCCCACCTTGCTCGATCAGACTGAATAGAGCACAAAAACCTCCCAGGCGCTCTGTTACCTCTGGCTGAATACACTCACATGATCTCCCTTCGATCTTCTACGTTCGTTTTCACTCCAGACGCACGAATCTGGTTGAATTGCTCGATCTGCTTCTTCAAGTCGCTTGTTGTAATTTGCATCAAAATACGTCTCTGATACCGCTTGATGTGCAATAAACTGCAGAAAATAGAAAATCACCCAACCATAAACTCAATGAATACAATGTGATTTACGTGGTGCGGCGAAGAATTGCCTAAACATCCACATGTAGGGTATGAGTTAAATATTGTGGAGAGACAATGTTACAATTGCACTCTTATTCTCTTTAACATTAATATGGAAAGCCTAATCATGCCAATAATAAAATCCCCCAATCAGTGTAGTAATTAGATCTCCTAATTAAAGTCAACAAAAAGCTTTTCTAAGCAATGCTGAATTAGATATGGAAAGGTCTCCATAACATTAGCGTCTTAGCATTTGTAAACTCTTTGGAACAACCTTTCTTGAAGTAGCTTTCTAGTACAAAAAATTTAATTTTGATACTAAAAAGCTTCTTCAAGAAGCAATAAAAATGCCGTGTGGATTGATGTATCTGCGCTGGATTTATCATCTTTTTGCTTATTATATGCGCCCTGGTGGCCTCGCTAAATCCCTTCTCCAAGCTCCAAGCAATAGATATGGTGAATCTTCTAATTCTCTTTCTCGTACATAGGTTTATTTTTGGCTCATTATGTTCGTTTGTTTATCTAATTGAACAAATGTGATGAAGTATTGTGGATTTCAACAAATGATTGAACAAATCGGAAGGCAGATCTGCTTGTTTTGAATATTTGTGAAGATTTATGTTTTGTTGTTCATCCAATAGTTTGAGCTTTATAAAAAAACTTTAAGGATTGTTTAGCATTTTGTTTAAATATTTTTTAGGGTTTCGGGATGCTTCTATTCAGAAACATTTGATTCAACTGCAATTTCATTTATTTTCAGGATATTTGAATTTCAGAAGATCAATAAATATGGTGAGTTATCACATGAATTCTTACGAAAAGCTATGTTTCTATTGGTTAAAAACTCTAACCAAAATTGAATTTTCTCCTGCTTTGGAAAGCAAAAGTAAATAAACCATTTTGAACTTGATTTTAAAACTTCATTTATTTTATGCTTTGTGTTGAGCCTTTTAGAAAAAATAAAACAAGCGAGCTGTTAAGAAAGTACAACGCCTGATTTCTAATTAGTATTGTGGTAGGCTGGTAGCACAACAATACCCCCCTTCTTCCATTCTGTTTTTGATATTTGACTTGGATTCTTTGAGCTCCAGCATAGGTCTCTTGTTGGAAAAATTCAGGGTATGTGCTGTCAGCGAACCTCGTTTAGAGGCGAATGAGAGCGTGTCAGGTATTTTTTTTACTGTGTACCGTTGCTATGGAATCCTCGTTATCGGATGATATGGTGTGTTCAGATTCGACTCTGTATCGTTTGGTGATCGTACAGAATTCCTCGTTGCATTCCATCGTTGTGAACTTTAATTTACTTGTTTCGTTTATTAAAATTGTTGCTCGTTTAAAACGTTGCCATATAATCTCTGCCATGTTCTTTTGAAGGCGTTTATGTTGCAATTAAATGTTCTTTTGTTGCGTAAGCAATCTTTTAGGTTCTGAAGTATTTATTTGATATTCGAGAGATTTGGATTTTCATTGGTATTTCGCTAGAAATATGTTATTTCTTCATATTTATTGGTATTCTATACCAACTCTTCTTAATATGGCACTCTGTAACATGCTTTAACAATATAAGAGTTTATAGGAGTTGGTATTATAAGTGGAATAAAAATGTTGACAAAGGAAAGGTTTATTATCTGTGCTCTTTTTTTAAATAAAATATATTGTTGTCCTCTTCTTTGTCATTGGTTTGCTTTTAATTACATTTGACTTCATTATTTGTTTACATTATATGTGATTAGATCAATTTGACAATTATTTTATGTGAATTTATATATTTAGATGTTTCATACGCATTTATTTCTTATGTAAATTTTTTCGTTCGGCCCGGCTCTTGAGCTCATTCATGCCATTTGATGTGTGTTGAAAAGAGAATAAAACTATTTTTAAGATAAAAATTGCGATTTTTTTATTTTGATTTATGATTAAATAAATATAATAAATAAAATTTAAATATTATATATATATATATATATATATGTTTTGTGTTGAAATTACAGTAATTCAAATCTTTAATTAAAATTGATTAAAATTATTTTACCTTATCTCTTCATATCCTCTTTAAGTAAAGAGCAAGTTTGATTTCATCCTCGACTTGAGATGAGAATGTGCATGGGTTGATTATCATTTCATTTTATGATTTATTTCAGGTAAATCAAACACAAAACAAGGCTGCGTATATTTTGTTGTGGGGAGATAGAGGCGCGTACAGCAGCTTGAAACAACTCATCCACACTCGGAAGATCCTTTAGCCGCTCAATGAAACTTAAAATGTATATGTAAAAATTTATTTAAATTTACATTATATAATAAATTTTAAACTTCTATAATTAAATCTATGTTAAAAATAAAAAATCTATTAAAAATTTAAAAATATTTCAATTAAAAAATTAAGCTAAATATATTTTTAAAGAGCTGGGCTTGAGCTTAGTAAATGAGCAGGAGTTGAGTACGATTAAGAATTAAATAAATTTAGCTCATTCAGACAAATACTTAACTAGCTTTACAACAACCAAAAAAAAAAACATGTTAAATATATTATATGAAAATATTATAATTATAAAAAACATATTATGATATATAAAAAATATAAAGAATTAATTTTACTAATTATTTATATAATTTTCATTGCACATTCAATCAGTAAGCTTTATTAATTCTAATTAGCAATTTAAATTACATTAAACATTTCAAACCAAATATTATATGAAATAGTCATAAATTATATTTTATATAGAAAACACAACAATTTGGGTTTCTTTATATTAATCTTAAAACAAATTTGAAGCGATAAATATCATTATGATTAAATTTGATCCGAATATTCTCTCAGGATCAGAGGATCTAATCATTGAAAAGCTTTAAATTTGAGGAATTTCAGTCATGTTTATCTTGAAATTGAATTTAGTGAGATTATCATTAAAGTGGATAACGCACATTCTCTCTCCTCTCATTAACCCTCGCACCCTTCACCCGTTTGAATTTGAAAAATTTCCGTTGGATAAGCTGGTCAGGGTCGCGAGATTAGTGAGCCAGATAGAGAAAAAAACCCGCCTTTCCGAATTTAAATGGGAAAGAAATTTGAAAACAATATCTCTCCTTTAATTCCTACTTCGTCTTCCATTGCTCTTCTCAGTTTGTTTTCTGTTCAAGATGGAGAGGCTGGAGGCTTCGGAGCCTGATTCCTTAAACTCCTGCCATGTTTCTCCGTTTCAGGCAACGATCAAATTTTTAGGGTTTCTAACGGTTCGATTGAGCTATGATTGGATTTACAGTTGTTTTCTATTTGCTTCTTACAGGCGGGGAAGAGGAGGGCGAGGGAGGAGGATGAGGTGGAGCCGATAGAACAAGTCAGGAGAATGAAGTTTGGGGGTTAGTCGGCTGATCTTTACACGAAATTTTTAGATCTTTTTGGATTTTTTTTTTTTACTAAGGTTTATTTTTATTGGTTTTTATCTGGGTTTGTGTGATGGTGATTATGAAATGGTTATTTGTTTGATTGTTTTTTTGGGCTATGATAATGGAATGATTAGCTTTACTTGGATGAGTTGGCTCTGCAGAGCTCAGAAGGGGGAAAAAGATTTGATTTTTACCTTAGCCATTTACTCTTGAATGGATCATAATATGAATTTGAAATAAAGGAAGGAGGTTTTACGTTAAAGGAGGTTTTTTTCTGTGGCCGGATTTATGCCGGATTTGAGGCCCATTTGCGCAAAATCCAGCCAAACGACCTAAAATGCAACCAAATCTCATGGAAAATGAAAGCCCCCTAGATAAAAAAATTCATCCTTTTCGTGCTAAATCCCAGATTTCCGAAATCGTAATTTTCGCCGGCTGGAGAGGGTGAGTCCGCTCTTTAAATCCGTTCTATAGCCAAACAGTGACACGAGATTTAATAGGATTTATCATGAATATTACCAAATAGTTTTCAAGATTTAGGCCCCTCAAGATTTCTGAAATCCAGATTTAGCATATTTATGAAATCCTACTTAAATCAAATCCTGGGTGCTACCAATCAGCCCCTTCGTGTTGTTTTTTGTGATACTAATGTTTCATTGACTCTGGTTTGATTGCTCATTTATTTATATTTGTTTTATATTTTCAATATACCATATTATTTATGCATGTACTTTTTGCTTCATTTAGTTTATGGATTTATCTTGTTTGGTCTTCTCAAGGGTACTTTGATTTCGTCATTAAGCATTTTCTACGGCTTGATGACTAAACCCTAAAGCAAAACTACCAGATTAGCTTCTTTTTCACTCCAGGAATCGCTATTTCTAACATAGAAATCTCAAATGAAAAGAAGATTGAGAGCTTTATGCATCATAATGAAGAAGATATTACCTCCGAAATCACCGAGCCAACTGCTTTGATCCCTTCTGCTGAACTTGTAACTTTTCCATTGGATCTTCACCCTCCAAGAGCCGATTCTACAGTTCTCAATCTCAACTCTCCTGCAGATATTGCCAGCAATAGTTTTCATCAACCATGTTTACCACCAAAGCATGAAAACACCAATAAAGCTGACTTACCTGTTCTTGGTGTGGATCTTAATGATCCCTTTTACCCTTATAAGAAGTTAGGGCAGGTGAGATCCACAGCTGCTTCAGAATGTGGTAGCACCACAAGTTCAGTGGAGATCAGTGAATCAATGAGAAAGTGGAATGAGATGAAGCAGAATGGCTTTGTATCCACTGTACAAGTAAAGGCATCCATTCCCAGGCTGAAGAAGTGCCAATCTAGAAAGAAAAAGGATGAGCTCAAGAAAATTATTCATATAACAAAGCAAGAACAAATTAACAAGCATAACAATGTTACCGATCCGAGCCAATTTCTTTCTGGTCTAAACCCTGGGATTATCAAGCATGTAAGAAATAGCAAACAGGTGAACTCAATCATAAAGGCCATGTTGCAGAATGAGATGCTTCAAAAACAAAATAGGCATATTGGTCCGTTAAAAAGAGGAAGCAAGGAAGCTGTCAATAAGCCACTAATTCCTTCTTATTACAACAGTACATCAGAGTTCAACTCGGAATGTGATGATGATGATGCTCTTACACTAAAACTTTCATGTTCTGGAACAACTGCGCCAAAACCGGAAGACATCACCTCTCTTTCAATCAAAGGTGATGCACTTTTAAGTTTCGTTTGGGATGAATTTCTTACTGCTTCTTAAAACAACCTTCTAGTATTAAAATTTTAATTTTTTAATTAAAAAACCGCTTTAAAAAACATTAAGAAAGTCATCCCAAACAAAGCTTTAAACTTTCTCTATACTTATTCTCCTGCTGGGTAACTTTAGTAATCCAAACTCTTTTCCTCTATTTGCAGCTGCTAAGGTTGCGTTGCAGTGGTTAACGTTAATAGGTCATGATATTATTGCACGACTGGCTGGCAAGTCTTGATTTATGTTTTAGAACTTAGTAAATTTTTATTTTATTATGCTATTGATTTGTTAATTAAGCCATCTCTGTGGATTGCTGCAGCAATACAGCGTAGCAAAAAAAGAGTGAAAAATGCTATAGAGATGGAGTTGCCACACCTATTCTCAAGAGATCTGCATTCTAAACAGGAAAATGAACTCTTATTTGGTTACTTGTTGACTAGGTGCTCCCAGAAAGAAACTTTCAATGTTCATTTAGCTCGGTGGAAAGCTGTTTTCACTCAGATGGAAGTGTCGTTGACTGATGAGGAAAACCAACTTGTGAGTGCCTGCTTTGAGTTGACCTTTTTGGGGTTTTGCCTATCATTTGATACATACTCTAACTTTTACAGGAGAAGTGGCTTAGGCAGGTTGAAGAGCTCAAGTCACAATGTCAAGAAGGGCTCAGATATGTTAATACCAATGGATTCTTACATTTTGAAGTGGCAAATGAGATAAGGCAAGTTAAATTGCAGATTATTTTGAACATATAGAAGCTTCTCTTTCTTCCATTTTCTTTTTATTAACCCCTCTATTTTATTTGTAAACAATCATTTTTGCTACATATGCCAAAATTATAATAGTTCTTCCACATCCTCAAATTTTCTGCTTATATCTTCACCAAAAAAGGAGGATAATACGTTGAAGTTAAATCGAGCAACCACATATATTATTTTTTAACGCATTTTACATACATACCACAAAATTCTTATATATTTACATATTTAACATTGTGTCTAAATAACATTAAAGCATATGTATATGAAAAAGTGTATTTTAATATGTTTTTGATGTAATTTAGAAATTAAGGTGTTATATAAGTAAATAAAAAGAATTTGGCCATTAAATATATAAATACATATGAATTTCGTGGTATGTATGTAAATCCCCATATTTTTTTAATAATGAGTTTTTGAGCTCAAGAACTCATTAGCTTGCAAAAGAAAACTTATTTTAGAAATTACTAATTTTGTTTACACATATTTTATGTGTAAATATTGTTAATGCATTAGGAAATCAAATCAAATATATTAAGAAAGGATATAAATTAAAAAGCTTTATGCTAATTCTTTCATAATTACAATTATGTTCTCCTATTAGTTTATTTCTATTATGTTCACACTACTGTATGTCTATAAAAGTATAAAGAAACAATTTACAGAATAATAAGATTGAATTCTCTCCCAATAATAAATATGAAATCATGATTTTTTTTAAGATGCGTTTAAAATTATTGTTGATTTTTAACTACATCTAACCAAATCATGAATCTAATAATTTCATCTTTTTTTTTTTAAATGTGTTTTAAGTTCAAGCAAACAAATGGGACCCAAGACACTTCATTTAGACAATTTCTTGAACCTATCATATCGAACCTTGACCACTAACCCTTGCTATTTCACTTGCTTCCAGGATTTTGAAGAGCCAAGAGGCTTTTGACAAGGAACTTGCAGTCAGGGCAGCTGCAGCTTCCATATACTCTACGTGCAACATGATCATGACAGCAGAGAATGTGCCATGTTTCTAAAATAAATTTCCACCCAACTTACGGCATTTTTTTCACATTTTTCTTAGCCCCAAAGACCAGCTTCTCTAATGGTCTCATGTAAATGTCATTGATCTGTGAGCTAACACCATTCTGTTCCTTATCACTCTGTATCTACTTGTATTACTACTGTAGTTCACTGAAGCATAGAATTTCTCTTCTTCAGATTTAGATGCCAATGTAATTTGCAAATTGTTTGATTTTATAGAATTCAGAATCGTACGCAAGTGGAATTTTATTCATGGAAATAGTATTCAAGTCAAAAATGAATTGCCAAACTCACTTTTTCAGTAATGACTCTGATAAAGCTATATGTTCAGATTTTATATTATTTCACTTCAATTTTAACTCCTATTATTATCTTTTAACCTTTTAATCACTCAAATGTATACTACAACAACAACTCTTTATCCCACTATTGCGAGATCGGTTAATGAATCTTTTTCTCCATTGTGTCTCTTTAAGAGTCAAATTCTCATCTAAATCTAATCAAGAAAGTTCATTTCTAATACTTTTCTCCATTGAGTCTGTTAAGGGTAGGGTTAAATGTATGTATATATAAAATAAGCTTGTTAAATTAGGTAGATCAGGAGCTAATAAGTGAAATCTTACGTGTAAAGACAATGATAAGAAAAAACAAGAGCGCATTTATTTCTAAATGTTGGATAGGGGATGGGTACCTGGATTTCCTTGCTGATCACTTGCAAGTTGTCCCCACGGATAAGTGCTGCTACTCGACACCGCGATCCACGTAACGCAATTTGCTCATGCATGCATGACACGTGCCTTTTCCACATTCAGCAGGTTCCTCTTCTTAAACCCTCCCCTTCCACTTCAATTCAACTCAAACATCTTCTTCTAGAAAGAGACAGAGAGAGATGGAGACGTGGAAGCAAGGAAGCGGTCGACTTCCGGCGATCTTCTTCTGCCTTTTAATCGCCGTGGCGGTAACGGCAGATCGCGGAGTATGGGAGGTGCCAGGTGATGAAGGCGGCAGTCATGAGTGGGCACCATTTTTGATGAAGAAATCGGAGGTGGTGGTGAAGACGGAGGGCGGCGAGATCAGGGTGTTCAGAGGCCACCCATGGAACGGCCATCCGCCCCGCATGCACATTGGCTTCGTCACCATGGAGCCCAACACACTAATGATTCCACATTACTTAGATGCCGACCTTATCCTCTTCCTTCTAAGAGGTATTAATGTTTACTGTGCTCGGCAAATATTTTATATATCTGAAAACAAATGGAATCTAAATTAATTGATTATTTATGTTCTTGAATTCTTTAGGTAAATTTTAAAATTTATTATTTTTTTTACAAAATAAATTTGTACTTAAAAATTAATTAAAAAACATAAAACTATCTCAAATAAAGAAAAATTATTCTATGCGGAAACCGGACACAACTTATCATTAGGTGCAACTACATTATCTGGTACCAAACAGTACCGAGCACGAGATGACGTGACACATTTTCATTGGCTCCGGATAACGTTCGGCTTCCGCACAAAATATTTTTTTCCGAAATTAGGCCTAAGGTTTTATTTGAGACAGCTTTATTATTACTTTTTAAAACAATTTTTCAGTAATGTTTTAAAACTTCATTTTGGAGGGCTTTCTTACAACTTGTTTTTGTATTAAAAAGGTACTTTTAGGCTTCGTTTGGGATGGCTCTCTTACTATTTCTTAAAGTAAATTTTTATCATAAAAGTTAAAATAGTTGTATTAAATACTACTTAAAAAACAGTGAGAAAATCATCCCAAATAACACCTTAGTCTAAAATTTTTCATATACACCTAGCTATTTCTGCATCCGATATTTAATCAAGCCACTACAGGGGAGGCAAAGATCGGTTGGATTCACAAGGACGATTTTGTTGATCGCCAATTAAAACCTGGAGACGTTCTCCGAATTCCGGCGGGCTCCGCCTTCTACGTCGTCAACACCGGCAAGGAACACCGACTCCAAATCGTCGCAAGCATCGAACCCATCGGCACTGATCTCATCCCTGACTTGTTTACACCTTTCTACATTGGCGGCGGGGAGTATCCTCTTTCCGTCTTAGCAGGATTCGATATAAGAACATTAGCCGCAGCGTTCCATGTGCGTACTTTCGCATTATATCAAACACCTGTCATTCATGCAGTTTTGGTTTGATTACTTTCTATAAGGCCTTTAAATCGAAAAAAGTCGAGTTTAGGGGTCTTAGACACCCAGAAAAACCATCTAAATAGTGGAGAACTACATATCTTAAAACATTTGGTTTTGATTTCAGGCTACACCAGAGGAGGTAGGAGTGCTGACATTAGGCCGCACCGCCGGGCCGATCATATTCATCCATGGAAATGAAGCCGACTACCTCCAGCAGCTCAACGGCGCCGTGAAGTCGGCGATGGAAACGATGAAAAAGACTAGACGATTAGCGCAGGATGTTAACGGGAAGATAGAAATGGAAGCAAAAGAAGAAAAGAAGAAAGGAGCGTGTACCTTGACAAGCATCTTAAGCCCAATCTTCTCCGGAGAACCATCAACAGAAATGAACGAGGCCCGGCGCCCCGTTGGCGATCCAGTAAAAGCACCGGATGCATACAATATCTACGATCGTGACCCTGATTTCAGAAACGACTATGGTTGGAGCATCGAGGTCAACGAACACGACTACCTGCCGCTCAAGCAATCGGACATTAGCGTCTTCCTCGTCAATCTCAGCGCGGTAATTTTCAATTTCCCATCAAATTGCGAAATCAATCCTATTAATCCTGCGAACGATCGATGAATTGATGTATGCAGGGATCGATGATGGCACCGCACGTGAATCCTCGGGCGACGGAATACGGGGTGGTGGTTTCCGGGGCGGGGACGGTGGAAGTGGTTTATCCTAACGGGACGGGGGCGATGAAGGCGAAGGTGAAGGAAGGGGATGTGTTCTGGGTGCCGCGGTTTTTCCCATTCTCTCAGGTGGCGGCGAGCCATGGACCAATGGAGATCCTAGGGTTTACGACGTCGGCGAGGAGGAATAGGCCGCAGTTTCTGGTGGGGAAGAATTCGATATTGAGGCTGATGATGGGGAAGGAGCTGGCGGCGGGATTTGGAGTGAGGGAGGAGGAGTTGAGGCAGGTGGTGATGAAGCAGAACAACACCGTGATACTGCCGAGCTGGGAGGAGAACGAGGAATGAAGCGTCGGGGCGGGAAAAGAGTGAGCCGTGAGGCCGTGCTTTATACTGACTATTATTAGGTTGGTTGGGAGTGGGGTCGGGATCGTCATATGTGTTGTGAGTGAGGGATGTATCTGTCTTTTCACTCTTTTGTGGTACTTGTCCATCAATAAAAAGAGGGCTTCGGCTCTTTCATTGCCTAAAATGCTACAATATAATTAAAATTTTTAGTACGTATAGGCTAGACAGCTCGTATATAGATATATTGGTAAGATTTTTTTATTTAAAGTTTGAGTAAGTAATGTATGTGAATATCTTAATTAGCTCAAATTTCTTTTTTTTTTTTAAATCAATAAGTTTAAAGGTTTTCGAGCGGTTTTCTTAAAGAAGTGAAGAGGTGTGTATAACAAAAAGGGATATACTTCAAACTTAAGTTAGGGGTGTTGAAATGGTTCGTATTTGGGTCGAACTCGAGTTGACTTGGGTCTAAACGAATTAATCAGATCCCTTGATATTACAAATGGGTCAGAATTTCCAACTCATATCTGACCTGTGTTGTTTGACCCGACCTGACTCTTGATCTGTTTGTAAAATGCGAAACCTGAAGGCTGAGCGACATTACGACTGGCACAGACGTGCAGTGGGCTAGCACAGGACAAAGCTTGAGGCAAGCGTGTTGGGTGACTTTGACGAGGTCCGCTAGGAGCAGTTGGTCCGACTTGACCGCGGGTGTGAGAGCCAGCAAGGCGAGGCTAGGCTGGTTAGGTGCCAGCATGCAGGACCGACATAAAGTGAATTCAAGTCGAGGACGATTGGCCGAGGCATGCTGCATGCGACATCAGACATCCTACACAGCTACGAGGACAAGAAGCAGGTTGTTTTCGAGTGAAACTTGGGTTAATTTCGGGTTGCCGGGTCAATTCGAGCCCAACCCAATTTTACAAATGGGTCAAAATTCAAAAACACGAACCCGACCTGTATGACAAACAGTTTGACCCAATACTAGAATTTTTTCGGGTCAAGCTCAGGTCGTGTTTCAAATTAAGTCATATTTTGACACCCCTTAGCTTAGCCTGTTTCTTAAATTAATTTTTTATTATAAAATTAAAAGAAAAATTATTAAAAATTTATTTAAAAAAACAGTAATAAACTAACTCAAATGAATCTTAATCAAATATATAGATAAATCAACTTTCATAGAGAGATTAAGGCTGGCCATGCAATCCAGACTTAAAGGTGACCATTTAACAAACATAAATTTAGTCCGGCTGAATAATAACATAGTCGAATAGAAAGGGATTTTGGCTTTTCAAATTAGAGAAACTTTCCTACCATTGCGCTATATGATTTATCCCCAAAATGAAAGATAAATGAAATCCTAAAAAACCTCAAGATATTGGTGCAAAATCTAATTTCCTTTTTTTAATAATATCACAAAAACTTTTATAGCTGAACTTAAATACATAGAGCAGCAGAAAAAAAAAGACAATAATCAAAAAGGGAAATTAAATACATACGACTACGGTTTAATAAATATAAAAATTTAAATATAATTATGTAAATAACCAGTTCTAAATGTCACAACAAATTATAGTCACAAAAATACTTAAAAAAAGTACATATAAGAAACTCATACGGTGCTTAAAAAGAGCGCAACACTACTAAATATTTAAATTAAGATTTAAGTTTCATTTAGGATATCTTCTTACTACTTTATGAAGCAATTTTTTAATACAAAAATTTCAAATTCAAAAGAATTATATAATAAAAAACTGTTCATAAAACAATGAGAAAACTGCCCAAATAAAGCCTCATGTTTCGTTTGGGACAATTTTTTTACTGCTTCTCAAAGCAACTTTTCAATATAAAAATTTTTAATTTTTGTATTAAAAAACTATTTTGAGATGCAATAAGAAAGCTGTTCCAAATAAAGCCTCAATCTCTCGCCTTTCCAGCATCAAAAGTTCCGAAAATTTTTTTGAAGGACTTGGCCTCATAATGATAAATATATATAAACAGTTAATACATTTTATAAAATCAGAGATTGCAAGGTAAGTGAGAAGAACAGTGATGAGAAACTGCTCACTTGGGATGTACAATGACTTCGCTTTAGTGTTCGAAATTTGTACAAATCTGTATGGATTATAGAGCACATAACGCAAAATCAACAAAACTTTAAGAGGTGCTACACAGCCAATTTGAAGAGAGTGATTTATTTCCTGTAAAATTGGGGGAATCGTCTGGAACTTTTGCTAAGGAGCGATATTGTAGTTTTACGCTCTCTGCATTATCCAGCGTCTTCACAACATACCTGATATTTGTGACTAGTTAGAAGTTAGCACCAATCCTCAAAACTGAAATCAATGTTTACAAATAAAAGTAAATATACAAAATTATTATTAAAGCTTCATTTGGAATAGCTTTCTTACTGCTTTCTAAAACAGATTTAGTATAATTTTTTTTAATTAGAAATTTTTGTACTAAAAAATAACAAGAAAAGAAAACTGTCTCAAATAAAACCTAAATTTCACACTTGCATGAATTAATTTATGCAAATGAAATTTGATGTTGAACTTTACAAAGCTATTTTGAGTTTGATTTAAGGGATCCAAGTCACACAAAAGGAAATTTTCTTCAGCTAGTCAGAAGAGTATGCTTTAAGAGCTAATAGAAGCTTGGAAGCTGGTTAAAGATCACACAAGCAGAGCAAAACACACAAGTTGAAGAGCCTCAGAAGCAGCTGTGGTTTAACAAGCTCTGCATCAGCTGTGGCCCAAGAGGGGCCGGCTGAATCCATTAAACTGGTCCATAATGGACCGGTTTATTGCTACAGGCGTCGGCCCAGGGAGCTGGGCGGAACCAGGAAGGGAGATAGAGAGGGCCAGCTGGCCCTATGGGGCCCACATCTTAATTAAATATTGCTTTGAAGTGAAATATTTGAATTAGGGGCTGTTTAGGGAATTTGTAACTATCGTTTTGGCTTTAATTAGTTTCTCTTCGGAGGATTAGGGTTTCATCTTGAATTTGAATATGAATTTGGAATCTCCTTGGTGTGCTTGGGCTCTAGTCTCTTGGCTAGAGATTTAGAGAGTTGTTTCTTCCTCTAACATTAAAGAAACTTGTATCGTGTGCTGATTTTTCTCTTTCGTTAGTGAAATCCACAGTTTTCTCTTAAATTTCTCTACAGTTTTTCTCAATTTTATGCGTAGTATTGTTGTTTTGCTTCTGAAAACAGCAGTTTACTGCTCGGAGGTGATTGTGTTCTATCAGTATGACATGGGCTTGTTTGTTTCTCCATAGACACACTAAGGTCCATATGATTTACCAATACAATGATGAAGATCATCATTATTATTATCACCATAAAAAACAAATCATCATCACTTGGAATTAACCTTTCAAATGACCTCAAATAACTGAGATAATGCTCAAGACTACAATGACAACAAGAAAGCATGATAAAAAAGATTATTAGTAGTTTTAAAGTGCCAAGAGAACCATTTTACTTCTGGGCTAGGTAGACATTGGTCAAAATTGTTTGGGTGCCCAATCGGGGCAGCCAATCGGAATTTTGTTTTGGTCCTTAATTAAACTAGTTCTTTGCTCGTTCATAATTAAAGTTTAGTAAAGCAAGCCAAGTTCCTAAGCACAACGATTTGGTCAACATTATTCAATCAATTTTTCCACAATAGAACGAGATAAATATATGGATTATGGCAGAGTAAAATACAAAATGAAATGAACTAACCATCCATTTAAGCATTGTGTAGTCACGACTGCTATTCTTCCAACAAATCGAGGAGGCGTTCTCTTGTTACCCTGGAATATTGAATTTAGCAGAGGGAATTATGAATTGGGACTAATGAAATATAGTGAGTATACCTTTATTATAACGCGGTCAGAGACATTAAATGGAAACTGAACGCCTCTATTTCGTGAATCCAATGGAAGTTGATCATCATAGGTATATTTGTCCTGCAAAATAAAAGATGCAAATAAAATAAAGCAACTTTTGCAAAAGTAAATATGAGAAAAATGAATTAAAATCACACTTTGCCATCAATGGAGATAATTAACCTGTTCAAATCTGTCCCTTCTTCGTTTAGATAATCTTGAGGAATGTGACTCTTCCTCCCTGAGGAATGCCTGAACCGCTGCACGAAGAGCTACAAAAGCAGAAAAATTAAGGCTATAAATTCTGCAATGATAAATAAAATATGTATTCTAGGGATGATTCTGATAGGAAATATTTGAGTTCGCAAGTAATTCAAGAGGAAATACTTGAGTTCGCAAGCAATCCTAGCAATAATTGGTCAAAACACGGAAATAACACAAAATCTTGGTGAAATCAACCTAAAAAAGATAGATTGCAATAGCGGAATCAAAACAAAACAAACACCAAAGCAAGATACAATGGATCCTATATTCAAGAGAAATATCATTCTCTCCAAATCTATAGACGATGAGTCTAGAGCCCAAGATGCAAGGGAACTCCAAGAGAATAACTCAAAACATGCATGCCCTAACCCTAACCTCCTCCATTCTTTTAATACATATATTCTTAATAAAAACTAATAAACATTAATTCAAATAGTTTCCCTAAGCCCTTCCCTCTCTCTCCTTGCTGCCCTAGGGGGGCCCACATGCTTGGGCGGCAAATAAAGGATGCGGCTTAGCCCGCCTCCTATAGGTCTGAACCGGCCCAGGCGGTTCTGGTCGAACCGTAACAGATTCTCGCTAAAATGTGATTAAGGTATTATCTTTAGGAAGAGGTAGTGCAGAAGATACAACATGAACTCCATCATTGCATCGATTTCTGCAATCATCATCCTAAACATCATGATAGCTAATCTTATCCTCAGTATTTGAGATTGTGAATCCTTCTCCTTTCAATACTTTTGATTGCCATAAGTTATATTAATTTTATTCTGCTTTCACTATTGTATCCAAGTTCTAGGCTTCTAGCAAAGTTAGTTTTGATCTACTCCAAGATCCTAATTCTTTCACATAAATTTTATCTCACCATCTTAATGATGTTGCTTCAGCCCTCCAATGTATATATCCAAATCATTCAAGCTTATTTTTAGTTTCTTTATTTAACTAGATGTCTCATGGTTTTCTTAATGCAATTATTTCTTGTAGTATTCTTCCTAAAATATGCCATACCTCCATAATAATGTTCCCACTGTTACATTCATTTTGCGATCTGTAATGTATCTCCACAGGACATCTAGTTGCTTCAAATTACCCTTGATAAAATAATATAAAACTTGGGCTATAAAATTCAAATTTAAAGCAAGGATGATTCCCTAATCTCAGGGCATGTTACTAATAATTTGGGGTTATAATATTGATAAAAATCTATAAATTGCACCGAAATTACTTGAACTTCGACTGGATTTAAATAATTTGATTTGGCCTAGCAGAGTAAGTAACATGCCAGACTATTTATTTTTTTCAAGCAAATTTTGACTTAGCCTATGGTGGCAGAATAGAGTGCGATGGGAATGATCTGTGCCAAGCCTCTCAAATAATCGATGAGAGGAAATAGACCACCTCTGATTTCATATGGCAGCATCGAGGAAGAAGAGGAGAACAACTTCTACTAAAAAAAATTATTTTAGGCTTCTTTTAGGGTTTAGGGTTTATTTATTATCTGTATCTTTGTCTTTCCTTCAAATTTTATAACCTCTTTTTTACATTATGTTCGGCTACCTCGCCTTTTATGAGCTTTCATTGCTTTTTGGAAATGTTATAGCCGCTTAATGACTCATGTTTGGGAAAGGAATGCGGAGAAAGGATCAATGAACAGATTGGCTATCTATAAGCTTTACTTCCTTTCTCCTTATGAGGAAGAAATCCTTTTATTTTATATATCCCTTTTTTTTCTCGCAGATTGCATATCCCTCCAAGAAGCTCTTTCTGTTTTTGTGGCGTAAAACAGAAGAGGGTATCATTTTTTTATACTTTTACAATATGAACGCTCGAAATAGTTTGATTGATGGTACAACAAGCTTTACAGGTTTTTTTATTTTATCAAGAAGTCAGCTTGCTTTTGGAGCTGCATAGAGAGAAGAATATAATTTGATTAATTTCTTTAAATATTGAGGAATCTGTAAGCTTGCCTTTACTTGAGAGCCATTTTTTATTTTACAATTATTCCTTAATTCGACATTTTATCTCTCTTTATAGCAAGCTCTTGTCGGTGTAAAGATCTTCTATAAAGTTGTGGAAATGTTTCCTGTACAACTGAGAAATTTTCTGCCACCACATTTGCAGAAAATTTCTGCAGAAGCTGCAGACATCTTCTGCATCAGACAGCAAAAATCAGTTCCTACTCATGTTGATCCGCGGAATAGGAAAACCTCATATGACAAAATATCTAAAATGTGTAAAGAATAGAATTCATATTGATTTATTAGCATGTTCAAAAACATTAAAATAAAAAATTCCAAAATTCGTATATGTTATTTCTTGGTGCATTATAATAATTCTAATAAATACCTTCACATGATTGTCCGACAAGTTCCAATAAATTGTAAAACACCTCAGATTTAATTTTCAACACTAGTCTAGCTAAAGTCTTGTTGTTGTTAGAATTAATAGAATTTGAGAGGGAAATATATGCTTCTTATTATTATACAAAATTATCCCTATTTATAGATCTATACAAGATGTCTTAATAAAGAAACAATAACTACATAATCATGCATAATTGTCTCAATATAATCCTTCCTAAATGAGCCATCCAAACATAGAAGGAGATTGGATCCTAACCGTGGGATCAAGTGCCAAGGGACGACTGAGATTTTGACAGTTGTGCGTTGGAACATTTGTAGTAGTGGAGAATATAATCTTAACTTTGCAAGACAATCTCACACACAAATAGATGAGCTAAGAGCAGCATACAAGATATATAATATTTTATATGCGAGAAATCTAAGAAGGCAAAAAACCATGAGGCATATGCCACTTAAAATGATTAGAGAAGGCTTTAGCACAAGGTATTCGACATGAACTTTAAATATATCTCCTAAGATAATAGAATGAGGAGCTTTTAGGAATCAAAGTTGTCATTCAACGATGATGGATAACCAAGAAGATGGGCATCATATATTAATGGTCGAAGGATGTTAGCCATTGGCAAGCATGGAGAAACAATGATAAGAAATTCTAAGGTCGAATGACAGTCGGCAAACAGCATAATCGATCTCCTAATAGGAAGGGAGACCATGCGACTAGAAAGGCAGGTTTTCAACTTTGTTCATTGGCAGGAATCTGGATACTACAAATGGGAATGTCAGAGGTTGGACAAAATTCAATGGTTGACTCAAAATGTTCTCTTGATAAAAGGAGTGATAGAATGAATAAGAAGCTAGATGTTGAACATTAATGGCGACATTAGAAGTCGGCCATTGGTAGGAGCAGGACAACGATAGATAAGGAATGTTGAGAGTTTAGCAATGATGAACAACTAGTTCGGTTGTTCTCATTATAGGAAGCAAGATTGGGTAATCAGGTTCAGACATCAACGACTATAGGATGTTAAACTTTAATCATTTTTAGGTGACAATCAATGAGGAAGGTTAGAAGTCGACCAAAAGCCACATCAACGCTGGTATATGGATGGCATCAGGTGTCAAAGTCAAGCATCAATATTGGTTGTTGACCACAGTTAGGTGATGACAAGTAAAGCTTTGGAATTTTATAAGTTTGGGAATTCTTTCCATGAAGTGTCTTCCTTTGAATGTGTAAAAATAAGGTCTCGTTATAGATTTTTGGAGGCAAAATTTTAGTCAATCTGCAACAATACGAGCATTCCATTAAATGAATAGATTCCTCTTGATCGAGTTATTTTTTGGACTTACTATTGTCTTAGTGAATTCAAAATTGAGTGATATTGGGCTCATATGATTTCTCTTGCTAAAACACACTTTTGATTATAGGAACACAAAATTTGGTGGACGTTTAATCACTAAAATTGGTGTGACATAGGGTTAGGCCTTTGTGTGATGACTGAATTGGAATTGAAAGTCTTTTAAAAAGGTGTTATGGATGGTGTAGAAGCCTTTGGAAAAGTTTAAGAGTTGTGTTATGTTCCCATGCAAAAGAAATAGGCTAAGTAGTGGAGAAGAAAATCTAGCCGAAATTCTCAACTTAGGATTTAGAGTTTCAAAATGTGAAAAAAATTCATATCTTTGAAAACTCTTGGGAATGGAAGAGTATGTTTTCTTCAATTCTAGAAGGTTTCTCAAGGGGTTTAGATTAGTCAAATGGAGTATAGAATCAAACTAAGTTAGATTCACCTCGCCTTAGCCGAGAGCCCTTATAAGACATTTGATTGATTTTTGTGGGGAAATGGATGCGTGATTGGTATGGGAGTATGAGGGGATAAATGTAGAAGAGTTATATAGCAAAAGATAGTTAGGATTTAATGAGAATTGAGAGCTTACCACTCACCAAAATGGCAAAGCTTAAAGAATCACCAACTCTATCATTGGTGAGGCCAACCACCACGCTCCGCTTCCTTGGAATAAAATCCGATTTTAGCAAGATAACCACTTCACTCTTCATTCTAGCAAAAATATATATAAGTTTACAACCACAAATTTGAAATGCAAAGATAGAGAAAAGGAGAGGAGGGTTGGCCACACTAGTGAGTAGGAGAGAGTGAGATAACTAACACATAATTCCCCCTCCTCTTTGCTTTGGTTGGCCAACTTTGCTTGACTCATGTTTATTTGAATTCCTTTATTCAAATAAACATTTTCACATAAATAAAAATCACATTCTCTCAATATTTAAAAATCTAAATTTCAAATTAAAAAAAAATTAAATTGTCAAAATTCAAACTTCAAAAGTTTGAATTCATATTTTCAAATTAGAGTTGCAACCACAATTATAAAATTATAAATATATAATCTTAAAAACAATCATTACACACATAAATATAAGTTCTACTTAATAGCTTTTATTTTGCTTCTTGTCATGGGAACTTGATTATTATCAATTTTCTTCTTGCTTTGGGCTCTAGTTATTGGTCCACTTTCTATTGCATGGGCATCTTGTGCCACATCATAAATAGCCTCAAGAAGTTATTAACAATGCTTTTGTGCTTAACTAGGGCCCATTTAGACTTGGATCGGCCTGCTCTTCACACCATTGG